TGTCCCGTAAAGATATTTAAGTCCCTCTGAGCACGAGCAAAATGACTTTTTGAAGGCTCAGAATGGGCTGGACAATCCTGGGCCTGAACAGGAAAGGAAAAAGACAAATCCCTACCAGAAATACAATCCCTCTGTGTAATTTCAGATCTCTGCTCTGAATCCCACTGGAGAGAAGCGATAGATGCTCTTAGAATCGTAGAATCACAGAATGGTTTGGGTTGGAAGGGACCTCAAAGATCATCTAGTTCCAACCCCCCTGCCATGGGCAGGGACACCCTCCACTACACCAGGTTGCCCAAAGCTCCATCCAACCTGACCTTGAACATTTCCAGGGATGGGGCAGCCACAGCTTCTCTGGGCAACCTGTTCCAATGGCTCAACACCCTCAGAGGGAAGAATTTCTTCCTTCTATCTAATTGAAAGCTCCCCTCTTTCAGTTTAAAACCATTGCCCCGTGTCCTGTCACTACATGCCCGTGTCCAAAGCCCCTCTCCAGCTTTCTTGTAGCCCCTTTAGGTACTGGAAGGGGCTGGAAGGGCTCCCCGGAGCCTTCTCTTCTCCAGGCTGAACAGCCCCAACTCTCTCAGCCTGTCTCCATAGCAGAGGTGCTCCAGCCCTCGGATCATCTTGGTGGCCTCCTCTGGACTCGCTCCAGCAGCTCTTACTGCCAAGGCTGCGACCACGGGGCCTCCTCAGCCAGCCCCCAGGTTGCTGCTGCCTCGGGGAGCGGTGGCACAGGGAAGGCGTCGCAGCAGTGTGCAGCTGCGGTGTCCGTGTTTCATGCACTGGCCTGCTGGCCTCAGGTAGAGCTCAGCAATGCCGGAAGCTGGACTCCAGCTCTCCCAGATTAAAAACACCGAGGCCACATGATATAGACAGTGCTGCCTGATATGAATTCACAGAGTTGGCTCAAGTTTCCTAAAAGCAATGCAAAAAAAATAAAATGGAATGGACTTTGTCTAGCAAGACCTTAGCCAGGTAAAGTATTATCCTGCAGCCAGCAGTTAAAACCTGAGGCTGCAGCACTAAGTGAGCTCTTGTTCGTTCGGAAGAAATGCCATTGCAAGCCCTGGACTGCAGAGTCCAGGAAGCGCGGCCAAGGGGAAGCCAACACTGGAGAGAAAAAGGCAGTGCTCTGCCAGACAGCAGTGTCCTCCCTGAAGGTCCTCAGCTTGGGTGGCGGTTTACAAAATCCATTGCTACAATTGAGATAGGTTCTTTTCAACAGGCTGCCTCGTAGGCTTCTGGCACTGGAAGGTGCTACAGGAAACACTGTGGCACATACAGACCAGCTGACTCACAGCCCCAGGTCTACATGCAAATTAAAATCCCTTTTCTCACGCACTGTGAGTGAAAGGGGTCCTCCCCCTGCCACCACACTGCTGCCCGTCCCGTGTGCTGCCCAGCTGCCACCCGCACTGCTGATGCATGCTCTGGTCAAACCTCCCACACCGGCCACCTGCACTGAAGTTTCCCAAATCTCTGTCTATGCACTTCAAGAAATGGTCTGATTTTCAGCACAGCCTGAGTTCAGCGCAGTCCTCCCTCTCAGCTCCCTGTGTGCTGTGCCCCCCCTTACCTTCATCCTCAGTGTTTTGTTTCCTCTTTTTCCTGGATTTTGAGTTCTTCTTATTTTTCAGATCCACAAGCTCCTTGATGCGCTGGGCAACTGAAAATTTGAAAGAGGTTCTGGATTAATAACGTGGAATGATAAAACACCAAAGCCCAGAACTGCCCTTACACATGGCAGCCAGCCGAACTCCAGCATGAGGAGGTCTGCTTGGGGAAAGGTCCTCTACCCCAGCCAGCTCCAAACGGACCTGAGTGAGGGGCCCAGAACATCACTCAACTTCTCCGAGTGGCCAAATAGTTGAGAAGGGGCTCCGGGCAGCAAGCTTATACTGAAATAAACTTACTGCCTGAATACCAGCAGAAGGAACAACCCACTCAAATGGTTCAGTTTACTCCTCCTTGCTGCCTGGACCCTGGTGCTGGCAGGGTGATTTTTCACTCGTGGGCCAAGCATAGCTGGAAGGAATGGTTTTGGGGAGAAGTGACAAGGGTCTGGGGTCCCCATGAAAACCCAAACCAACGCTGCACATGCAGCAGTTCAGTGAAGGAACCCACGTTAAGGCTACAAGCACGAAACCAGAAGGTGAAGGTTAGCATTGCAACAGTGCTGCCCCCAGGACCCACCTCCACCACCGCACTCAATGGCAGGGGCACAGACATGCATGCTGGGGCAGAACTTCTGCACCTGCCCTGGAGATCTGGGGGGGCTTTAACCTATGTTTGAAGCCCCAGGCAGAAATAGCTGCTCTGGTTTCTTGCCTGAGACTGGACAAAACACAGCGAGCCCCACTGGAATAGTGACAAATTGGCTTTCCAGGCTGCCACTTGTTGTTTTGCTTTGTAGGTGGTTTCCCCTCCCCACCCCACCCCCCCCAGATCCTGTAGCAATTTAAAATTGGGGTAATAACTGAATATATGCTGGGCTGGTCCCCAGGGCTTCTGGAAGACATATAAATCGCATTGATTCACCACAAAAGCCAACATCCTCCAGGATCCTCGACTATTTGCCAAGCTAAGACCTGTTTGTCGTGTTTGCAATGGCTCCCTTAAAAAATTCTGTATTAACATCTTTCTTTTGCCTGCTTTAAGGAACTTCCAAGTAAATCGTGTCTTCAGAGAACCCAAAGAAACTCTGCCCTTGATGGGTCTAAATCAGGTCTTTTCAGTGCTGATCTCGCCACGCTGGTTGGAGAGATAAGCACAGCGTAGGGGTGGCAATTCTTTGCCAGGCACAAGTAAGAATCGCAGGGAGATGAGCTGGTGGCAGCTTCATCCCACCAAGGAAGGATAGACTCGCCCAGACATGGTGCTCTCCCTGACAGCACTGGCTGGTGACTACCTGTTTTTCTTTAAAAACAGACAGTCCTGAATAAGTGGCACAAGCCACCAGAACACTGCTGGGGACAGGTGGGCGTGCATGAGGCACTTACTGTTTTCATCACTGTCAAGGTGGCGATAAATGTAACCTTCCAGGTAAGACTGAAATTTGGGTGATGGGGAGAAAAAGGCCAGGCTGATGGCCATCAGTTCCCAGCCCCATGCCAGACTTCGGTAGCACATATTATCTGTTGTCTGCCGGATCAGCTGTATGTAGAGCTCATCCCGTAAACCTTGCATGCTCCAGCACTTGGTGACCGTGACCAACGCCACGTGATTCCGGTCCATGCGAGTCTGACGATCTCCCATGTAGCTCTGCACCAGTTTGAACATCTCGCATGCCTCTTTTTTGATGGCACGGTTGCTAGTGATGAGCATGGGTTTTTTGATGGAGCCGCCATTCCAGGACAGCATGTTGGAGATGGAGATCCTTCGGCGGAAGATGCCCTGCGTGTGCATGTTCAGGTTTTTGGAAGCCCAGTCTGCCATGCTGCTCTGAGAGATGGGCTTCCGTAGGGTATTGTAAGGGAAGTGGTATCCCACACAGCTGGCAGGCTGGCCACTGCTCTCCTGCTTGGGGTCCAACTCTATTGTCCCAGGCTGCAATGGAGAACAGACATGTTAAAAGCAGCCTAGACGACTCCTCGCCCTGTTAGGAAAATCATCAACAGCGAGTCATGAAGCAACTGTGAAGTGATGAATCTGTACAAAACACCATTTTGTGCAGAATCAGTGGCTGATATCTGTAGTTCTGCAACAGCCACACACTGATGCTGTCCCCAAGGGCAGCGTTGGGACATGGAGTAACAGGGCTGATTGTCCAAGTCGTCCCAGAGCTCTGGGGGACAGCACAAGCAGGAGCTGGGCTGACTCTCACAGCAACAGCACAGCTCTGTGCCACCAAGCACACACCAAGGAGACAAGTTTCTCCCCACTCTTCACCTCTCAGTTCCTGTGGAGCCACAGGAGCCCAGGAGGTGGGTGGGGAACAGGAGGTGGCACAGACTAGACAGCCACCGCACTGTTAGCACTGTTTCCTTCTCAACTTTACCCTTTCTGGCCCCTGTGGTCCCACAGCTGGTTCCTGCATTTACTATTTTTCCAAGTTCTAGCAAAAAAAAAAAAAAAAAGAAAAAGACAAAACCAAATCAACATGGCTAGCGACCATCAGGAGCTGCTGAGCTTTGGGCAGCCTATGCCTGGACAGTCTCTGCATTGAGGCATTCAAAACACGTGTCTCAATTCCACCATGACCTTCCTAACGGAAATATTGGCCAGACACGCAAACGAGGAGAGGAGAATCTAAGAGAGCCACGGCGGAGGACGGGCACAGCTGTTTCGATGGCAGGGCGCTCACCCAGGCAGGATAAATGGCGTTTGAGTTGGTGAAGTGAAGGAGACTGGATAGCTGCGTCAGCCAACTCCCACCACCACCGGAGATGGCTCTGCCATTCCCCACCATGACTCCTGTCAAACAGGCCCTGGTCCTCAGCGTCAGCAGTGAACATACAGGCTGTGGCTGCAGACCCAGAGCTTCTGCCAGTACTGCTGCGCTGGATTCGGGGACATCTCCATGATGGACTCCCTACCATGTTTTCCTATCCAAGACAGGCATAACCTTCCCTAAATTACATCAGAATTGTTCACAAGTACTAGGTTGGTTTTTGTTCTCAGAGAACCAGCGACAGCTGCTCCCCACCCGCAGTCCGCAGTGATCAAACTCCTCTGCTCCAGGACAAGTCCGCTGATCACAAGTTCACAGAGATAAGCAGCAAAGACCTTCCTTCCTCCCAAGACTCTGTGTGCAGTTTTTACATGGAGCCCTTGTCCATCCTTCTTCCCCAGCGATCACTATGGGTAACTCCATAATTAGAGCCCTGGTAGTACTGATCCCAAGAAAATGATGTGTAATAACTACTTGTGAGAATAAGGCACTTATTATGCCCATCCAGAACTGTCTGGTTTGGATGGAAGCGACAGCCTGGGACACATATTGAACTCAAACACCCAACAAGTTGTTTTAGGAAACAGACTTTTTTGTTAGACTTGAAATTCCCACACATAGCAACTAAGAGCTAAACAGCCCACACTTCGCTCTGCGTTCTCCAAGGAGATCTCCGGCAAGTAGGAAAAAGCCAAACAACATAATCTGGAGGTTTTTGGGTTTTAAAGGGAGACACAGAAACAGAAATCCTGAAACTTTTGGTTTTGCAGTGGAAAAAGTGAAATAAACCATGTGTTTTCCTTCTTTGCAGAGCACCTTTAGCTTGCATGCCATACTCTGCTCTGGTCCTGGCCTGCAGTCAGCCCCAAAACACGTCGTGAGTGTTCAGAGCAAGTCAGTGTCTTCTTCTAGTAAGGAGGAACTGGTGAACTCACGACAGAGGCTTGTGCAGTCCAACCCTTCCCTACCTTACACCAAACATGTACCTACATGTGTATGACGGGATCTGCACACACCACACTCCACCTCTTACTGCCAGCCTGGGGCACAGTCATTTCTCCTGCTTTTCTACTTTGGTTTTTTTTTTTATCCCTTGAGTTACTCCTCCATCTCCTCACCCTCTCTGAATTCACTCAACACGCTGCCTAAGAATCCCTGCCCGCAGTTCTTCTCTGCCATCTCCATCCTCGGTCTCCTTCAATCCACCTTCCATGCCCGGGGCTGGTTTTCCTCCTACCACCTTAATTGCTCCTTCAGCGTGTTACTTCTGAGGATCCACCTCCTCATACTCTCTAGAGGTTCAACAGGCTCTCGGTTCTCTCCTCATCTCTCTCTAGAGTTTATCTCTCAAATCTCGTTCACACAACTACCCAGCTATTATCTTTGTGCTGACAGCACACATCCACCTCTGCTCAGCCAGTCCTAGAACTTCCGCCCACCCTACTTGGATAATGAATTTCCTCGTCTCCCGACTCTGCTCTCCATCACGTAGGCCCAGCACGGGACATTGCTGGTGACTCAAGCCATATACTGCTATTTTCAGGCAAGGCAGCGATTTTGCTGCCATATTCTCTGCGACCTCCTCTCCTTCTTACTTGGACTCCTACATCTCAGAGAATTTCTGTAAACAGAGTATTTATTTAGCGACTCGTTGCCTTTACCACAACATCCATCTCATTACATCTTCCACTGTATTCTCCTTCTCTATCCTACTGCACATGAATTATTTTTCTTCACTTTCAAGGCTATTCACAGCCTATCCCAACCCACCATCTCTTGTGCGTAATCAAGATATCAAGTCTCAGCTCTCCCCCTCAATGCAATGAGGTGCAGCACATCCTGAAGACCAGGTCTTCCAACAAGCCTAAAGAGGCTGTGAAATGAAATTGCTGAACTATTAACTGTAACATACGAGTCGTGTAAACTCAAACTCGCCCTGTGCCTGAAAAATGGAAAACGTGGGAACATGACATCAGTTTTAAAAAGGGTTTCAGGTGAAAGCAAGGCACTGTCGATCGGAAATTACAATAACGCATGAATCTGATACGGCTGGGAGGTGTAACCCTGGCTTTTAGAGAAAAGTTGCAGCTCACAGGTCTACTGGAGCAATCTGAAATGGTCAAGGAGCTTTGCCAAGTTTCTTCATGAAAGGTCATGGTCTAGTAAACAGGAGAAAAGACAGAACAAAGGGTTAAAATAAACAGTCACTTTTCATGCTGGAGAACTGTTACCAGCTGTGCCTGGCAGAAGAGATGCAGAGACTCAGGCTCTTCAGTAGGAGTGAAATAATTGGAAGAGTGAGCATAGAGAAAAAGGGATATAAAATTACCTATACAGAACCTAAATCTGAACTAAAACCCAAGCAGGAGGTTCCTTCAAATCCAAGTAGGAGAAAACATGGCAAACTGAATTCTGCAGAAGCTCTGTGTTACAGAGAAAAACTGCTCCAGTTGTGCAGGCACGCTAACAGGCTTTAAACCAGCTGTTTCCAACGACAAGATGCTACAGTCACTGTCACTGGTTTTCTGAACAATTCCATTCAAGGCTCAGGAACAATCAGAAGGGAGAACAGCATATGAGGAACTACTAGAAAAAGAAGAAAGGAAAAAAAAGAGAAAACACTGCCATGTGGCCATGCAAATCATCATGCCTGTGTCCTGTAACCCACCAATTCTGGCCATCCCAGCGCAGAAAGGACACGTGAAGGCAAGGGCTACCAAAGAAGACACGAGTGCCAGTAAAACGATCAGGCAGTGGATTTACCCAAATCCCACAGCAGAGCTACCTGCAGTGCTGAGGGTTTGCTGGACACCAGTCCCTCCGCAACTGCTCCTCCTCTCCTGCCACTGGCCTGAAATGGGGTCCCCACCTGCAAAGCTGTGAAGCTTTGTGACCTGTTTGTTGTTCTGCAGGCACAGACATGTTCTGCCTACAGCACGTCCTCTAAACCCACCCAGGAGCAGACCAGGCGCTGTGCCATGACAGCCCAGCAAAGGCTGGATTTAACCCGGTGCAGATGGGGACGTACCTGGGAGGAGTGGCGTGTAGCATCTGATGAAGCCAAACTTGTCTGGCTGGTCACATTCTTTTCTAAAGAATCTATTTTCTCAAAAGTCCTCTTCTGCCTCATCATGTCCTGTGGAGCAGCCACATCGTTAGGAAAGCTGCCCCTGCTCTCCAGGCCTTGTCTATACAGAGACCGACTACTAGCCGAGACGTCGTCCCTTGAGCTCCGGCTGATGCATTTTTTCAAGTGGTCAGACTGAAACCTGACTTTGCTGCTCTCTGCCAGGATGCCACCCTCCAGACTTTCAGCATCGAGGCTGGCTTTGCTTCCCCTGCAAGCCGCTGACCGGCCCACCACAGCTCGCATCTCAGCGATCAGCTTATCATTCAAAGCTGTGAGCTCGCTGCTGCTGCCCACAGAGCCAGGTCTTCCTTGACCTGTCCCTTGCCTCCTTCCTTTCCTTTTTCTCAGGCTTGGAGAAGGGCCTGTCGAATAACCAGAATCCTGATGGCTTATACCAGTTGGGTACTCTTGAGTTTGCAGGCTGTTCTGCCGACTGTGGTGGGCTTCCATGTTCTTGAGGACATTGGCTTCCAAGATCTTCCAAGATTGCTTGAAGCTGTCCTTTGAAGTAAGCTGACCCGGCAGCTTTGTAGAGGCATCAGCTGTTGCAGCAGCAGAGTGGGGGAATTTGGAAAACTGGTCAACATTGACCATGTGTTTTATATATTCTCTGCCAGCCGGGCTGTACTCGGTGGAAGAAGGATTTCTTCCGTGCTTCTTTGCAGCTTGCTGCTGTTGCATACCCGGATGCTGCAATAATTTGGTTGGTTGCAGATGCTTTTTTAAGCTATTGCTTGGCGACCTTGGTGGAGACATCCCACTTGTACTGACGCTTTCAGTGTCCATATCTATCGGTGGTTCATCATAAATTGGAGACTCTAAAGATGGCTCATCGTAGATAGGTGCAGGGGAGGCATACTTGGGGGATGCAGGCTGGGGGGTTCCTGTCTGGCTCCTTGGAGGTGTTTGAGAAGTTGGACCATTCATCAGCACTAGGCAAAACCCACCATTCTCCGTCTTTTTAATCTGCATAGACTGCTTTGTTTCTCCTGTAGGCGTGTGCTTTGTGGCTCCAGGGCTCTGAGACATGGATTGAGGCTGAGCATATATGGCTGGTTTTGGAAGAGGTTTTTGGCTGTTGGCTTCTGGAGCGCTCTGGAACTGAAGGGAACTGTTTGAAGAGCTCTGTACCTGCCTCAAACTGTTCACTTTGACCAACATGGCTGCTTTTGTGCCTGGCAGAGGCTGCCAGTGGGTTGGAGTCTCCCTAAAGAAAGAAAGATACAAATACAGGGAATTATTTAAGAGTTACATTAACTGAAGCATCCTCTACTTCTACCCAGATACCTGATTGTTAATCTCAAAGCGCCTTGAGATTCCCCACCCAGTTCCTCAATAAGCTTGTCATTGTTTTTTCCTGGAGATCCCCCTTCCCAAAACAGAAACACATCGTTGTTACACAGGTGACAAATTTCTGAGTCATGAACAGCAGAACGAGATGAAACAAGTTCACCATCCTATAACCTGTCTGGTATCAGCAGCACTGAGATAGGAAACAACCTACACTTCCCAAGGCTCGTTAGCCAGCACGGCTCTCAGCACAACCAGCTGAACACCAGTAAACTATTCCGGACCACTCAACCAGTGCATTGGAAAATAATCCCAAGTGTTTGCCTTCAGATTGTCAAACTATGATGACAGTCCTTCCACACCATGTTGTTTTTCTGATCTAAGTTTCCAAATACATGTTTATTTTGCAGAAAAACCTATGAGGTGTATGGGAGGTGTACACGGGCGTACGTCCTTGGCTCACAGGATGTGTGATACGCTCCCACGCGACCCACCCAGCCTCTGTGCAAAGCATCCTCCCAGTCTGGTCCAGATGTCCTCACACCTGGTTCTCTTGGCCAAACCTACTGGCTCTGCTCAGCTCTGATGGCTGTGAAATGCTCCTCTGCAGGGAGCATCCTCTGACCTGCGGTGGTACTCAGGATCCACCACAACCCAGCGTGCCCACTGCAACATCCCAGGCCCAAAGGCGCATTCCGCAGTGCAATAACAACCTGCTGTCAGGATGCAGCTACTGCTGGTCTGTCTTTGCGAGCTCTGAGGAAAAGGGAATGGAAAGGCTCTTAAACCAGAATGAGCTTCCACATCTTCAAAGGCACCACTGTCCTTAGGAAGGTCCCCTTGAACCTGGCCCCACTTTGTGCCCTCTCTCCATGTATCCGCTCCCAGCTGGCACTGGGTACAACCTGAGGGCACACTGCGCATGCCCCACTGCGACAGGAGATGTTCCCAGAGCACCTTCACAGCTGTTTTGCTCTATTTGAACCGGAACACTTGTGCCCCACCCCAGGCGGCTGACCTGTCCCGCACGGCCCCCGCGCTGGCGGACAGACCCACCTCCACCGAGCTGCCTCTCAGTGATGCCACCCCCTGCTTGGGCCTTCCCTGCCAAGCCCCAGGATATCCGGACATCCCAACTCTCTTCCACTCTGCTCCTGCTCTCCAGAGACCTTTTAGCTGCCGGGTCCCAGACCCCCCCTTTGGGACAGCTTCCCTGGGGGCGCTCTGCCCGTCCTCCC